GTTTGAATAGTTTCAAAGGTAGTTCATTTTATCAGGGTTTAGATAATGGCTAAAAGCTTCCTGGTAGCAAATGGTCAAGTCCTCAACCTCCTCCTTGATTCTGGGGTCGGTTCTGATAAGCAGATTATGCTAGAGCTGCTCCAGATCACACTGGTTTGTCCTTTCATGCCAACAGCAAGCTACAGGTGGGCACTGCTCTGAATCTGTAGCAGCACTATGAGGAAAAGTGACTAGACTGGCAGACACTGCCATTCTTTCCATCTCGTTGCCCACATGGCATGTGGGAAATTCAGGGCTCTGCTTCTCTTGTAGGTAAGGCAGAATAGGACAGAAGTGAGGACAGACTCTGTGGTGGAGTGGGTTTGAAATAAGGAGACCCAGAGAGGAGTCTGGGTTCTGACACTTCCTAGCCAACTAGCCTTGGGAATGAGAGTAAAAATTGTTCTTGCTCTATGTAATCATGTCAGATTCAGATGAGATATGCAAGAGCATTTGTAAATTGTGAAGCACTATACATATGGAAACTATGGTACTTCCCCCTCATGGCAAGTTTATTTGACTGTTTCCATCATTAATTGGAAAGATCAATAGGCAGGAAGTAGTGGAAAGAATCAGCTCGATGTGCCCTCAACTTGCCTGTGGAAAGGTCTTTAATATGGAAAGTAATATGTAGTGGTTTTTTTTTTTTTTTTTGGAGTCTGAGTCTCACTCTGTTGCCCAGGCTGGGGTTAAGTGGCACGATCTCAGCTCACTGCAACCTTCGCCTTCCGGGTTCAAACAACGTTGTTGTCTTAGCCTCCAGAGCAGCTGAGACTATAGGCATGCATCACCATGACCAGGTAGTTTTTGTATTTTTAGTAGAGATGGGGTTTCACCATATTGACCAGGCTGGTCTTGAACTCCTGGCCTTAGTTGATCCACCTGTCTTGGCCTCCCAAAGTACTGGGATTACAGGCATGAACCACTGTGCCCAGCCTCGATATTATTTTTATCTCTATGTAAATGCAGTCATATCTGAAATATGAAATGATAGGAGGAAAGTAACAAAAGGGACACAAGAAAATAATAGTAAAATCACCAATTAAATGAAAACTTTGTAGATCATTGTAAGTATATGTATGTGCATGTAAGCATATGCAGATACATATTCTTTAAATATGTACGCATTTGTTTACTGTGTGTGTACAAAATATTTTTCTCTTGCAATGTTTTTATTTGGCTAATGTTAAAGTTATTTCAGATTACCTAGGGAAACAGCCATTATAGTACAGTATCAAAAGCTACACGCGAAACTGCAGGAGGCATTTTCTGAAAATGCAAAGTGCTGTTGAGCTCTTCTCTTAATTCATACAGAAAATATTACCCAGTCATAACAAACTACACAATATTACTTTCACTAAAATTGCTTCAGGCTAATTTATTGTCATAAAATAAAGGTATCAGACAGTTTGACATGAAAATATAAGGTTATACTTAAATGTAGTAGTATGATACAGGATGATATGTCTCCTACAACGTTTTGTTATCCACAGCTTATTAGTTTTACACATTAAATTATCCATAACAATCACTCTCTGTATTTAATTGTACTATATAACAATTTTTGTTCTAGTTCAACAATTACATAACCTAGCTAGATAGTTAAGCTGTTTCAGTAATCAATTAGTATTTGTTGTAATGCTCACATCAAAGAAATTACGTAATTTTCTCTCTTCTGTACATTTCTCACATTCTGTAAAAATTACATTATTAATACCTTTTGCACATTTCATATTTGCTATAAAAAATTCTTGCATAAAATATTCTTTTACCATTAAGTAAATTAATATTAACGTTAGATTAAGTAGTTTTAAGATATTATTGCTTAAAATACCTTCGGAACAGTTCTGAGCAGAATGTGCACATTTTAAATAAATGAATCTTATTTCCAAGAAATCTAATGTTATTTGAGACATTAAACTTGCAATAAATAACTTAAACATGTATTGAGAATAGGAGTCAAGTAAGACCGGGATGGAAAGTAAACATTAGAACAAGATTAAATCATCTAAAATTTATTTTTGATTTTTATTTTAAAAGCAGAAGAATGTGGCCTTTTCTTCAGAGCTAATAGGACTTGCCTCAGAAAATGATATAGTACCTATTCTCCATTCTACATAATGTAGGCAACAAAGCTCTTTAGACACATGACAGGAAAGATCCCACATCCAATATTTAAAATTCATATTTTACAGGATCCCATTATATTCTATTTTCAGGCAATGAACCTGCATTTGTAACACTCCATTTGTATTAGTGGTTCCAAAAGCTAATGTGGTTTCTCAAAACATGTACTTTCCAACTTTTATGTAGGTTATAAACAGTACTTTTAAAAACAGTGCATTTTCATACTGTCAGATGACTGAAAAGAAAAGGGCTTGTGAATATGCATCCTGAGTAAAGGCTGGGCAGCTCCACGCATCTGCTATTTTCTCCGTAAAACTCCTTTTCACATTTTATCCAGTAGCAGCCACCGAAAACTGATTTTTAGTCCAACATTCCTTAAGGGGTGAGACTGACTTTATGAAGGGGTTCCGTATTGCCAATTGCATTAACCATATAGTATAAGTAATTCCATTATTTAGAAGGTTATTACATTGCCTTGGTTCTTTGTGGTTTCAAAGTTTTGTTTTGTTTTTGTTTTTTCAATTGCTTGGCCATAGCTTTGCTCACTCTTATTTAATAATACTAAATATTATGGTGAATATACAGTGCAACTCACATTTTCTATGGAAATGGTTTTCTTTTCCCCTTTCTTCTTTCCCTCCCTCCTTCCATCCCTCCCTCCCTTCCTTCCTCTCTTCCTTTCTTTTTCTTTCTTCCTTTCTTTCTTCCTTTCTTTCTTCCTTCCTTCCTTTCTTTCTTTCTTTCTTTCTTTCTTTCTTTCTTTCTTTCTTTCTTTCTTTCTTTCTTTCTTTCTTCTTTCTTTCTTTCCTTTCTTTCTTTCCTCTTTTCTTTTCTTTTCTTTTCCTTTTTCTTTCCTTTCTTTCCTTCTTTCTCTTTCTCTCTCTCCCTCCCTCTCTCTCTCTCTCTCTCTCTTTCCTCCTTCCTTCCTTCCTTCCTTCCTTCCTTCCTTCCTTCCTTCCTTCTCCTTCCTTCCTTCCTTCCTTCCTTCCTTCCTTCCTTCCTTCTTTTCTTTTCTTTTCTTTTCTTTTCTTTTCTTTTCTTTTCTTTCTTTTCTTTTCTTTTCTTTTCTTTTCTTTTCTTTTCTTTTCTTTTTCGGCTCACTGCAACCTCCGCCTCCAGCTTCAAGCAATTCTCCTGCCTCAGCCGTCCAAGTAGCTCAGATTACAGCCATGAACCACCATGTATGGCTACTTTTTGCATTTTTAGTAGAGACAGGGTTTCACCATGTTGGCCAGGCTGGTCTTGAACTCCTGACCTCAGGTGAACCCCTGCCTCAGCCTCCCAAAGTGCTATAATTACAGGTGTGAGCCACCATGCCTGGCCTGGAAAGTGGTTTTCAAATGGGAGTGATTTTACCCCAGCCTGAAGAGGGTATTTAATATATGACAATGTCTTGAGATATTTTTGATTGTTATGACTGAAGGATGCTTCTGGCATCTAGTGGTTAGAGGTCAGGGGTGCTCCTATACACCCTATACTGTCCAGCCTCTGCAGAAAAGAATGATCCAGCCTCAGGTCAGCAGTGCTGCTGTTGAGAAACCTTTGTCTATGGCATGGGTGGAGTTTGTGGTTTTGGTCATTTTCATGACAAGCTGTGAATTGAGAGATGAGGTCAACAATGAAATGATTCACTTAGGTAATAAAGAGAGCTTAAATTCTAAATCAGGCAATAAGTATATATTTTTAAAGAATGGCTCAGCTATGGATTAGGTCATTTGTACAATGTGCTGTAATTACCCAGCTCTTTTAGGGCCCATAGCACTATTCCCAGTGTTTGGGTGTGGTGTTCGAAAGAAGAATCAAAGAGCCTTGACTGTCTCAGGCTCACAACTCTCTTAACTCAAAATAAACATACACTGTATTACACAAACTTTGGAGTTAAAATTACTCTGGGTGACTATCGAATAATAAAATAATTCAAACTACACATAAAAACTGCCACTTGTCATGGTTAAAACCTAAAAGCTCTAAGAAAAATGACCAGTTTGTTATTTAGGATTCTATTTATCCTCTCATGTGAAAAACAAATTATTTGTTTGCAAGATGCTGCATCTTCATTAAAATCATTAGTATTCTGAGTAGATGGCACTATTAATTTTATAAATGGAATTGGAATTTCACTGCTATGTTTCATGCAGTTCTTAGGACAAGTGAGTGTCTACACAAGATGTTATCTGTGTAAAAAGGTACACAAAATAGTTACATGAAATTCACAGTATGCATTATTTTTTAGTCTTACTAGATAGCAGGCAGGAATTATAAATTGTTCACATGTAAATATACATATAAAGTTATATATACACACATAATTTATATGTATATATATAGATTTTATGGATATATAACATATGTTTTAATATATATACTTATATAGAAGTATGTATGTATATACATGTGTATATAATGTGTGTAATGTATAGATATGTATGTGTTTGTTATATACATACATATATATATGTAAATATATATAGATAGAGAGAGAAAAAGGGAATTGACACCGCAGCAATATAAAGTCATCGCTTCAACTGTTTTAACAAAGGGGAGTCTATGACCAGGTTCTCTTCTAGAAAAGCAAATAACCTAAATTAATTAAGTCCTCAATTTGAAATGTATTTCATACTTTTTAGGAAGCATACAGGTATATCTAGGAAATACTGTGGGTTTTGTTCTAGACCGTCACAATAAGGCAAATATCAAAATAAGGCAAATTACACAAACTTTTTTAGTTTCTCAGTTTACATAAAAGTTATGTTTACAGTATACTGCAGTCTATTAAGTGTGCAATAGAATTATGTCTAAAAAATGTGCATACCTTAGTTATATTTATTGCTAAGAAATACTAATAATCATCTGAGCCTTCAGCAAGTCATAATCCTTTTGCTGGTAGAGGGCCTTGCTTTATTGTTAATGGCTGCTGACTGATCTGGGGTGGTGGCTGCTGAAGCTTGGAGTAGGTTGGCAATTTCTTAAAATAAGACAACAATGGGCCAGGCATGGTGGCTCACACCTGTAATCCCAGCACTTTGGGAGGCCGAGGCGGCAGATCATGAGGTCAAGAGATTGAGACCATCCTGGCCAACATGGTGAAACCAAAAATACAAAAATTAGCTGGGCGTAGTGGTGTGCCCCTGTTATCCAAGCTACTTGGGAGGCTGAGGCAGGAGAATCAGTTGAACCTGGGAGGCGGAGCTTACAGTGAGCCAAGATTGCGGCGCTGCACTCCAGCCTGGTAACAGAGCAAGACTCTGTTTCAAAAAAAAAAAGGCAATAATGAAGTTTGCCACCTCAGCTTACTCTTTCTTTCATGAAAGATTCTCTACAGCATGTGATACTGTTTGATAGCATCCTGCCTATAGCAGAACATCAAAATTGGAGTCAGTTTTCTCAAATCCTACTGCTGCTCTATCAACTAAGTTTATATAAGATTCTAAATCTTTTGTTGTTATTTCAACAACATTCACAGCATTTTCACCAACGGTGATTCTATCTGAAGAAACCACTCTCTTTGCTTATCCATATGAAGACTCCTCATCCATTAAAGTTTTATCATAAGATTGCTGCAATTCAGTCACATCTTTAGGCTCTACTTCTAAGTTTAGTTTGCTTTTTCCACCACATCTACAGTTGCTGCTTCTATGGAAGTCTTGAATCCCTCAAAGTCATTCATGAGTGGTGGAATCAGCATCCTTTAAACTCCTGTTAATGTGGATTATTTTGATCACCTTCCAAGAATCAAATGTTCTTAATGGCATTTTGAATGGTAAAATCCTCTCCTTTACTTTACCTTTCCCAGATCTATCAAAAGAATCATTATTTATGGCAGCTATAATCTTATAAAATATATTTCTGAAATAGTAAGACTTGGAAGTCAAAATTTTACTCCTCAATCCATGGGCTGCAGAATGGATGTTATGCTAGCAGATACGAAAACAACATTCATCTCCTTGTACATTTCCACCAGAGCTTTTGGGTGAATAGGTGCCTTGTGAGTGAACAGTAATAGCTTGAATGGAATCTCACTTTCTAAGCAGTAGGCCTCAACAGTGGGCTAAAAATATTCAGCAAACCATGCTGTAAAATGATGTACTGTCATCGAAGCAGAGTAGATTGAACATAATTCTTAAGGGCTCTAGATTTTCAGAATGGTAAATGAACGCTGACTTCAACTGTAAGTCACCAGCTGCATTAACCCTTAACAATAGAGTCAGCTTGTCCTTTGAAGCCAGGCATCAACTTCTTTCTAGCTCTGACAGTCTTAGTTGGCATCTTCTTCCAATAGAAGGTAGCTTGTCTATACTGAAAATCTGTTGCTTAGTGTAGCTACCTTGATCAGTGATCTTAGCTAGATCTTCTGAATAACTTGCTGCAGCTTCTACGTCAGCATTTGCTGTTTCATCTTACACTTTTACAGAAATGACTTACTATTTTCTTTAATCCTCATGAACCAACCTCTGCTAGCTTCCAAATTTTCTTCTGCAGCTTCCTCACTTCTCTCAGCCTTCATAGAATTGAAGAGAGGTAAGGCCTTGCTCTGGATTAGGCCTTGGCTTAAGGGAATGCAGTGGCTGCTTTTATCTTCTATCCAGATCACCAAAACTTTCTCTACATCAGCAATAAGGCTGTTTCACTTTCTTATTATTGGTGTGTTCACTGGAGTAGCATTTTTAATTTCCTTCAAGAACTTTTCCTTTGCATTCATGAGAGCTAGGCCTCTCGTGCCAAACCTGGCTGTTTGGCACGAGAGGCCTAACTTGGCTTTCTACATGCCTTCTTTATAAGCTTAATCATTTCTACTTTTTAATTTGAAGTGAGAGATGTGAGACTCTTCCTTTCACTTGAACACTCGGAGGCCATTGTAGGGCTATTAATTGGCCTAATTTTAATACTGCTATGACTCAGAAAATAAAGAGGTCTGAGGAGAAGGAGAGAAATGGGGAAATGTTCATTCAGTGGAGTGGTCAGAACACACACATTTATCCATCAAGTTCATTGTCTTAGATGGGTGCCGTTCACGACACCACAAATAATTAACATTAATAACATCAAAGACCACTACTCACAGATCATCATGACAAATGCAATAATAATAAAAAGTTTGAAATGTGAGAATTACGCAAATATGACACGCAGACCAGAAGTGAGCACATGATGTTAGAAAATGGTGCTAAAAGACTCCTGCTTACTGCAGAGTAGCCATAAACCTTCAATGTATAAAAAACAATACCTGTGAAGTGCAATCAAGCAAGGTGCAATAAAATGGGAGTATGTCTGTCTTTGCATCCCAATTGCAATTTAATGGATTAATAACATTATAAGTTTTATTTTCTCAGCAGGGTAGGCATTGGGGAGGTGTCTCAGGAAAGAGTGGGAAGGCCAAGGGGATCTGCCTGGGATCTTAGATGGTCCCAGGGAATTCACCAAGTGTATGATCTCTCAGGTGGATAACCTTGAGAAACGGGAGTCTAGGGCCACTTCAGTTTGCATGGAATTAGAAGACAATGTCAACAAAATAGAAATATGCACGCAGAGTCATCTTAGACCATCTTAGACAACATAGGGTGTGTAATGTTTATAAGCATTTGAACATATTCCTAGATGGAAAATTATGCATTAATACGTTTCGTTTTTAAAATAGCATATTGGTTAGTTTTTTAAAAATCTAAACTTTAAGAGCAGTTTTAGGTACACAGCAAAACTGAGCAGAATGTGGAGTTCCCATATATCTCCTATCTCCACACGCACTACCTCCCCCACTATGAACATAGTGGTCCATTTTTTAGAACTGATGAAGCTACATTGACACATCATTATCACCCACAGTCTATAGTTTAATTAGGGCTCCCTCTTGGTACTGTACAGTCTATGGATTCCAACAAATGTACAATGCCATGTATTCACCACTGTAGTGTCACACCGAGAAGGAGCTATGCTTGTGGTTTTTAATTTTTTTAAGTTTTTTTTTTTTTTTTTTTTGCGTGTGTACACAATTAATGTTAAGAAGATTCTTTTCAGCCAATACTGCCCATATGTACCTCTGAAAAGTGCAATTGCTAAAAATAAAGCCTGTAGCCCGAAATCCTACTTGGAGTCCCTACCATACTGAGTATTAATTGGATTTTTCTTAAATTAACATTAGGGAAGGGTTATAGAAAATGATATGCCTATTTAATGCTCTGCTCATTTGACATGATACCTTTCCAGAAATATCTGTAAGTAGACACAGGATTTTACATGGATTAAAATGTCAGTAGTTGATTTCATAAGGAGGCAATGCCACAATTATACTTCTTGTGCTGTTCCATAATCAAACTGAATTTCTGGGAACATTTCCAAATACCCCCAATAGTCTTTCTAGGTTAGTGACCAGGAATGTTTGCAAGTGACTAAATTTCTATCATTTGGACGAAAATTCCATTTGTGTTTCAGGCTATGTTGATACAGAACAAAGGAGAGTAGAGACTTGGCAATTATCCTGTTAATCTGATGAATGTGGATGGCTGTCTGGCCATACCAGATATTTCAAACCAACAAATAGAATTTCTTTTTGTCTGAATGATCTAATTTGTTAACCAGATAACTGCCAAGATTGCAACTTCATTCTGTTCTGTATAAAATTATTCATAATTTTTCAATATTTCCAGAATCCGCTGCTTAAGGGAAATATATGTAAATATATGGATATTTTTGCATTCAAGCTATATTTCTCACTCCATACTGATGGTATAAAGGGCAACAGAGAAAGAATATAGATCCTCATGATGATTTTGTCCTGTTTCTCAAATGTCCAGTAAATATTAAAGGCAATACAGCATGGTAGCTAAAAGCAGCAGCTTTAGAGCCAGCATGCTGAGTTCAAATCCTGACTTTGCCTCTTACTATAAATGTGACCAATGCCTCACTTTTTGTCTCTCTAAAATGGGGGAATAATAGTGCCTATCTCATCAGTCATTGTGAGCATTAAAGAAGCCAGTACATACAAACTGCTTAAAATAGAGCTCAGATTATAATAGGCACTCAACAAATGCAACTATTATCTTTACATTAAATTGATCATTTAAAAGATCCAAGAAGGAAGGATCTTTTGGGGATGATGAAAATGTCCTAAAAATTGATTTGGGGGATGTTGGCATAGCTCTGTAAATTTAATAAAAAAATCATTTAATTGTCTGTTTAACACAGGGGAATTTCACAGTGATTAGATAGCTGTTATGTTTTAAAAAGAGGGGCCAGCCTTATTAAATCGATAGCATTAGCTTCTTGAGTTGTAAAGCCTGAGAACAGGAACAGAGAAATACTAGGAAGAAAGACAGTCTTATGGAAGGAGGGCCCAACTTCCCTCCTCCCCACTGTGCAGGCCATTCTCTAACAGTGGCTTTAGAAACCTCAGCAGCTGTCTCCTGGGAGCTGCTCCTTAGGCTATTCTCTCATTGCCCAAAAGTTGCTATTAGTGATCTGTCTGATACTGGAAGATGCATTCTGAAAAAAACTAAGATTTACTCTTCTGTTTACACAGTGTCTTGAACCTATTCCTAAACATTATTTCCTTCAACACTGTTCTTTAAAAATCAAGTACCAACTAAGAATACTCTAGATACCCCTTTCCTCACTCTTACTACTTCATTGCCCGAACATTTTAAAAATGTATTCATTGATTGACCCATTTCAGCAATTTTGTATTACCACTCCCATGTTCCAGGCATATTCCTACAAAGTACAGGGGGAAAGAAAAAACCATGGTAATTGGTCCCTGACCTCAGAGGTGTTAGAACTGCTAATGTGGCCCAATCCATCTGGATCTGCCCTTCTTCAAATCTACCCACTCTTTCCTAACTCTAAACAGATCTTAAAACTTTTTTGAAGGTGTTTCTGCCTTTCCAGTGTAGATAATCCTTCCT